TCCTCCATGACATGGCACCAGTGGCAGGTGGAGTAGCCAACTGCAAACAAGCTCAGGTGGGTGAGGAATGGTCCTTTGCAGGGAGCAGGAAACATGTGATGGGGACAACACTCAAGAGATGGGGACCCTTGCTATGGGCAACAACTGCTGCCTCCCTGGACAAGAGATGGAGGAGAAACGTCTCCTGAACTCTCCAGCGCTTGCTCCTAAATACTGGCCAAGGACTCTGGTCCTGCATGTAGCCCATTTTCAGAGAGAGCTACTCCAGCACTTGGTCCTCTCTTGCTTGGAGGCCATCCATACCTACATGGCTACTCACATACCAGCTTGGGATGCAGCTCAGCTTATCTGATCATCTACTGACCAACACGTGGGGACATGAAATATGCCTTGTTTCTGGTTACCTGACAGGAATATCAGCTTATTTTCTGTCTTTGCTTTATCAAAGGCTTCCTGACCCCAAGGGTACCTGTGGAGGGAAGACAAGAGTCCCTCAACCCCATGGGCAAAAGGAGAGGAGGAGGAGGGGGGAAAGGCCTCCCATTTCTCTTACCAATCCACAGGGTTGTGGGCGTGCTGCAGGAGGTATGGGGACTTCTCGTTAATCAGGCGGTTGGTGTGAAGAGGGATGCTGGGGGGGCTGGGTGTCCCTGCTGTGGCCATGGCTGCAATCCCCGTCAGAAACGTGTACCTGTGACACCAAACAGGCTCAGGGAGTCCCTGCTCACCACAGCAAAGCTCAGCCTCTGCACAGAGCCATGACAGAGCAGTATGCAGTACCCCAGGCCAGGCTGCTGCTCCCCACGCCGAGGGAACCGCTCTCAGCCCCAGCCCTGGGGAGCTCAGTCCACCCCAATGCTCACCCCCCAGGACCTTACAGGTCCTCCCCACTCACTGGAGGCTCAGGGGAGGTTGTTCTCCAGGTTGGCACACCCCACCCACAATGGGGTGAGGGCCATTCCCAGGGCTGCCTCCCACCAGCCCACTTTGGGGGCACACTCAATAGCTGTAAAGACAGGAGCAGCATCTGTGCTTCTTCACCTGCGTGTCCTCAGAGAGAACAATCCCTCCGAGGGGAAAATTCCCTCCCGTGGGGTGGGCGCGGGCAGGGGGGGCACAGGCTCTTTATGGCGAGGGGAGCGAGGAGCAGGAGGGGAGCAGGGAGATCCCTCTGCTGCTGGGGAGATGCAGGGTTTGGGAACGGGGATGCAGGAGGGGTGCAGGAGGGATGCAGGAGGGATGCAGAGCTGGGATGCAGGAGGGATGCAGGAGGGATGCAGGAGGGGTGCAGGCGGTGGGAAAGGGGTGCAGAACGGGTGTACTGAGGATGTGAAGTCGTGCAGGGGCTCCGGTAGTGCG